TTGCGGGAAAGAGCCGTTTCCTTAATCTGTGGCACTAAGAGCCACTCAGATCATCGCTCAGCATGTCAAGCTCCGGATAGCATTTCAAGGGCTCCGGAAAGCTCCCGGAGCCGCCTTTTCCCCCTTGCCTAAAGCAACGACTATACTTACACTAATCCATGGTCGTGGTTCGAGCTCATCGACAATGATCAAAACACGAATACCTAACATGTCGTAAGTATTGAGTTCTTCATGTGGTTGATCGGTTTTCGGAAATTGATCTACTAGACGTGTAAAACTTGCTTTAACATTTTCTTCTTTTGGATTGAATGATTGAACAATAGTTTGAGCACGTTCTTTTGTCAAATTGAGTACCGTGACCGTGAAATTCTTACGATCATCGATTTTTTTGACTACGGATGTGGATTGTTTGGTAGTTAAAGAATGTAAGTCGACGGAAAATGGTTTTTCAAGTGTCTCGATCATCTTTTTCATTTGAGAAATAGTTAAACTTTGAAAAGTCAATGCATATGGAACTTTATCCATTTTTTCATGGATTTTCTTGAAGTTTTCTACGTTGATCAATGGGAACAGAACCGATTTGATTGATTCACTTTGAGTAACTATACGCGTTTTCGCTTCGGAAGACGATAGTACTTGGCGTGAGGTGTCTGTAATGATTGTGACATTTGTATTCATGATTTCGATGGCTGTCAGATAATTTTCAGCTGCTGTTGATGTTAAGGTCAAATCAGCCGATCGATTTTCCATCAGTTGTATCACTTCAGGAGCATCGAGATATTCAATATTCAATCGAACAGTGACAGATTCTGGAACATCTGTGATTTTCTTCATTGCGTCAAGATTGGTTTCTAGAAAATGGATTGAAACACGTTCGTCATCGGTTAATAGCTTGAATAAATCGATTGCTTGATCATATCTTCCGCAATCATGATGGACTTTCAAATGATTGAAACTAATATCAATTGAACCTAAACAATTATCAAGAAATTCTTTCACTTCGTCATTATACAACTTTCGACCGATCTTCTGTGTTGTATCAACTGTATCAGTGATATTGATAAGTTTTTGTGATTCTTCAATTACTGCAATGGCATTGCTTACGTGGTTGAGATAAAGTTGAAGAATATCAACTTTGATTTGAATCTGTTTAGCAAAATCATCAAAAACGAACTCTTCACAATCTGTCGTAGATTTCAATTACATACTATATAATTGTGGTAAAATATATTCACCAACCTGTTTTTGTGCTTTGGTTAAATAAGACTTCGCTATCGTTTTATATTCGCTCGGTAATTTACCTTGATGAAGAAGGCAAATACCGTAATTAGTCAAAGCATCAAATGCAAAGATTGGATCTAGGTTGAACGATCGTTCGAGTCGATTCATCACTTGCTCAATAGATACTGAATTTGTTTCCACAAAAGGAATACAGAATTATCCCTGTAATATAAGTATAACTGCAACTTATGATGTAGTCCTAAAATAACATGGTATTTTTGTACTTATTCTAGATATATGAATAAGTATGTCGATATCTACACTTGAATGTTTACCGAACGAAATTTTATTAATTATATTCAATTATATCAGTTCAATCGATGTATTACGGTTATTTCATAATTTTAATTATCGATTGAATATTATACTGACACGAGTATGCTTCCAATTCAGATTGATTTAACAACACAAACAAAATATGACTTTGATTATTGTTGCAAATATGTCGTACCATTTTTCTCGGCTAATTTAAAGACACTTTGCCTATCCGATAAAGTAAACTATGGTGAAATTGACTTATATTTCAAAACATTTCATCTTTCTCAGTTCTCAAATTTGAGTTCACTTTTAATAATTGAACCTACTGAGAAACGATTCCACCACATCATGGATTCAATTGGTAATTTAACAAAATTAACGAGTGTCTGTATTAAAATAGAAACTGCTACCAAGGAAATGACAGAATTAATTTCTAGTGATAAGATTTCTAAATTGAAACGTTGCCGATTGGTACTGAATTCAAATATTCGCTTTAAATGGATAGATTCAATTAATGTAGAGAATTTAATAATTGATAGTTGCACTTTTGATCAATTACTTTTACTAGTTCGGTATATTCCAAAAATCAAATATCTACAGGTAAGTTAAAGGAAGATAAGATATTTCCAATTTTATTGCAAGCAATTTGAACTCAATATCTCTTTCTAATTCTGATATTATCATATGTAGTATTAATGGTACATAAATTTGCACTTTTTTATGTTTAAGGTATAACTGAAATATTATCACGTAATTCGCATAAATAATCTTGAAGAATTTTCTGTATTTATGCCAAATCTGATCTATTTTAAATTGAATATTGATACCGGAGCGTCGTATACAGCTTACAAAAAGTTTGAGTACATATCAAGGGAGAAACAGCGAACTCCAGACTTCAACACGCCAACTGACTCCACTTGACTCCAAATGACTTCAATTGATTTCAACTGACTTCAACTGACTCCAGACAAGTCATATCTGACCGAGTCTATTGGCCTTTTTTTAAAAACTTGTCATTGTTGTATTCCCATGTTAGAACAAATGTCCTGTTATGAAATTCGATTCCCCAAAACAGAACAAAAAAATCTGCTGTTATGGGAATGTTTTCCCGAAAATGAA